CTCTCTCCCTTGCTTTCGCTTGTTTATCCCTATTCCCGTGGCCCTGGAATTAACGATATTAAGGTGCGAGATTGTTCCACCGGCATCTCATTGTATTTCGATAAGCTACGCTGTCTAGCAGCCACAGGCTATGCGCTTGCAATTTCGACTGAACGCAAAACCATTCATCCTCTCAGCCTTTCAGTTTAATACGAGGTAAAACAATGTACAACATCAATAGAAAATATATCGTATCAATTAAGATGAGCCAATGAGATTCTGTCGTAAGGTATTAGATGTGATAATTTAAACAGCAGAAAGACAAAATTGTTCGACAATATAACGCAGAGGAGTTTTCGAACTTCCAATGTACGCAAAGTGTTAATTAGTAGCCGACCTACCACGCCAACTATAATCCTGTGTTTATTAAATCCTGATTTTATTAAATAATATTACTCCAACTTAGTCCTTTAAACTTAATTGAATAGTAATTTTATAAGATTTAAATCTAAAAAATGTGGGAAAAATTTCTTTTTCAAAAGTGAATCTTGCCTATTTTTATACGGATTCTGGGTTCCTCGTGACTATTAAACTTAGGGAGTTAGCTAAAATGAAAGATTATACGTTAGAGAATCAAAATGTTCCATAGACCCATCTTTTACGTCGACTATCTAAAAAATATAATAAGTAAGTTGTCGCTTAGAATATGGAAGAAAATAGCATCTTGCAATTAAAGTTCTTTTTTGGGATGTTAGAATATTCCCTATATTTATGTCTTATGTCCTTTTTGACCTTAAAAGAATCCTGTTGAAATTATATATAAAAGAATTCCAATAAAAATAATCATTTTTGCGTGACGCTGTTCAGCAATACACTCTTTTGAACAATATGGAAAAATGTACTAAATAACATTTTTTTATGCTCGGCGTTCAGAGCACCTCCCCGTAGTAATGATGGTAATATAAACTATTTTGAAATATTATTCCCCAACCACATCATTCCTCACGGATATCAGATTTTCAATGATTCATTATTCCTCTTTGCTCTTATCGCTCTTATCGAGCAATATGCGATTTATTATTAATCACGAAAAGAGCCAAAAATGGACTATAAATTCTTTATGAAAAATACTGCCTCAAAATATTTTGATATTTCGGGCTTTTTTTCACGCTGTAGATAAATGTTGGATTTAACTTTTATATTGATGCCGCATTTTTGCTAGATTTTTTCCAACATTATGTATTTATTATATTTTTTCTATGAACATTTTAGTTCTCTTCATCAGAAAAAGAGCAAACTGATACCGTAAATATTGACTACATTTAACATAAAAGCAACTTAATAAACGCTTTACATTACGCTGCCAGCGGCTTTGCAACTGTTGTTGATTTTCTGTTGAACTACACTAGCGGTTTACGCTTTTCTAACATGTTTACTAAGCAGCTCAGTGTATTAAAAATATACGGAATAAATAGCAAGCGCTTAAATAGTAAATATGTTGGAAAAGCGTAAACCGCTAGTGTCGTTCAGCAGAAAATCTTACAACAGTTTCAAAGTTGCTGGCGGCGCAACGCAAAGTATTATAAACTGCTTTTGCTATTGAACATAACCATTTATTGGTTCTATTGATATAAAGCTAAAGAAAAAGATGGGCCAATAAGAGTCATTCGTTAATTATTGGACACGCGATAATTTTAACTAACAGAAAATGAAATTTAATAGCGTAACGTAACTAGAAACACCTTTTGGACTTTCTACAGTGAGCAGAACTCTACTAACAAACTAACCACCATATCCAAATAATTCTATATCTCAATCACATAATTTTTAAGTAACATTCTCTCTTTATATCCTAAAACCTTAATTGAACACTATTGTTAGCGTTGCGAAAAATATTGACTCAGCCGTAAGTCGAATTTAAATTTTTATACAAGCCGGTTAGGCCATTTGGATGACGTATAGACCAATGATTAAGAGGAAAGTCTAAATTATAGATAGTCAAAAAATAGGAAATTACTTTGAATTTTCTTTAAAGAAATGAATAAAAACATCAATATTTAAATTTTGACCATTCTATTTATTATAATTTTAAGTATAAAAAAACTTTTTACTAAAATTCCGTCTAAGATTTTCTTGGACTAATTGTGGCAGAAAATATTATAGCTCGTGTAAAAATCTCAAACAAATTGGAACAAAAAGTTAAGAAAGAAATTGTATTAAATTTTCTTATCTCATTTGTTTCAAACTTTTACACGAATTGTTACGTTACTCGCCAGTTTAAGGCGTTCAGCAACATTGCACGCAGCATAAAAAATCTAGATGAAATCTCAATTACTTTTTAAATAATATTTTTATACTTAAAACATAATAAATAATATATATATGGTCAAAACCTTATATTGATATCTATTCACTTTTTTGAAAAAAAAATTCGTAAAAGCCTCCTTTTTTCGACTACTTAAGTCAGAAACTTTCCATAAAGGTTGCAATATTTTCCCTCGGTGAGTTTTGCAACGCATCTCGCGTCCGATAGGAAAATGTATTGCCTGAGAAACATATGGATCGCATTAATTTATAAATAAATAAACAAATAAATATCTCTTATCAGGCACAAGATGCGTTACGAAATCCGTCATGAAAGTGTTGCAACTTTCAATCATCTGACTACCATCAAAACTTGAATATTTATCTTTATAAAAAAAGTAATATTTACCTTAAAAAAAATATATATATCCTGTTATTTGACGCATCTTCTCACTTCACTTCAGATGCGGAACGAAGCCGGATATGCACGGGCAGTTTTATGAGAACACGGTGGTCGTGCAGTACGACAAGGACCTGCTCGAGGTTTGGGACGAGGCTAAGCGATTGCGATGCGAATGGTTCAACGATTACGAGAAGACCGCGTCGAAACCGCCGATGGTTATCGCGGACCTCGACGTGATACAGCTGGACTTCAGAGGTACGGGCGCCTTACGATTATGCTCCCATCAAACGCCACCTCTTAATGGAGATAAATCGCCGGCGCGATACTCCCCGAGCGCGCGCGGCGATACTATCGAGACTACTGCGTGACATCCGTACACACAGGCCACCTTCAATCGCCATCTGTTGCTGTAAACAGCTCTCAAAGTGCTGTCACGAGCACGCGTTCCCGAGGCCCTCGAACTTTTCTGAAATGTCGCGGTCTAATAACGCGGGCAATCGCGGTCGCGCGCAGTGTTTTTACATTTTTTTTTTTTTTTTCCTATCGCGGTAACGCGGTAACGCGCGCCAACGCTTCACGGTGAAATTAATACGGTCGAAGTGATCGCGCGCGAGCTACATGCTAAAACTCGCGCGACCATTCGCGGTTGACCACAGGCAGAACCGCGGTCACGTCGGTTAATTTCAGTTTGCGCGCACGCAACGTGTATACGTGTATATGTACTCGTCGTATGCCTCGTGCGACGATGCGACGTGTACACGACGACACGAGACGCTACCCCGAGATAACAAGATTGAACCGTATGGAACTGAATGGAACGCGCCTGACGTCGCTTTCTCGCCCGCCATAAGGATATCCATAAGCGAAATTGCGATTTTTTGAGGCTCTTGCTTTTTCCCTGCAGCTACCTTGATTCCCAGCAAATGTGATTACGTCAAAAGACGTATTTCACTTGAAATCATAAAAGTTGAATGTTTAACTCAAAGCTTAGAGTAAATGTTTCACTCGATTAAGATGAATTTGTTCCCACGACGGTAAAATACGTTAGATACGTTCTTCAATTTTGAATGAAAATATTTATTCGATTATTTAGAATGGAAAAATTCACTTTGCACTAAAATCCTAGATAAACAGAAAAGCGACATTGAAAATCGATGGATGTGTTATATCGAAAAGTCGCCATCTTGTTTCTTCATATACGATAGACTAGTCCAATAGTATCTAATCTCTGGCTATATTAAAAGAAGATATGCGATAGACAGAAGTCAAAGCATGTTAGGTCAGAATAACAATTTAGTTAAAAATACATCACACATAATTAATAGCTGCTTGCTTATAACTTTAACGTACTACATTAAGTTACAGTAAATATTCTTCTGTAACGTCAATTGCGAGTGTATTCTATTGTATCATTAACCTTTATTTGTGTATAGTAAGAAACAATATAGCGCTAAATTACGTGATTTAATTAGTCAATCAGATAGTTTCCTTCAACATCGCTTCTCTATTTATCTAGAACTCTATATAGGAATCCTACGAGATTGAAAAGTTGGAGTGACTCAGTTGTCATTCTATTTTTCGGCTCAAATGCTTTAATGGCTCAAAAAAATTTAGAGAATATTCTCTAAATGCCTTGGATAAAATCTTATTCAAAACAAATGAAAATTGATTCAAAGTAATAGTTAAAAAAATACTTTTACTTGAAATCATAAAAGTAAAATATTTAACTCAAAAATTATGTAAAAAAAATTATTGTAAAATGAATTTTTAATTTGTATGAGTAAACATTTCATTTGATTAAAATGAGTTTGTACCTATGACAGTGCAATATATCAGATTCACTCTTCAATTTCAAGTGAAAATATCCACTCAACGATCCAGAATTGAAAAATTCGCGCAGTATAAGCGAAAAGTCACCCGAATGATTCGGTTATCATTTTAATTTTTGAGCGGTGTTTTATTCGAAGAAATTTCGAGAATATTCTTTTGGAATGTCTTGGAATGTGTGTGCAACAAAACAAATGAGAATTCATTCAAAGGAGTAGTAAAAAAATACTTCCACTTGAAAATAAAAATAACATGTTTAATTAAAGCTTGTATAGAAATAAATTTTTAACCCATCCGAGTAAACATTTCACTCGATTAAAACAAATTTTTCCCCATAACATTACATCAATCTTCCATTTCGAGTGAAAATATTTACTCAACCATCTGAAATTAAAAAATTCACTCTGCATAAGTGAAAAGTCATTTGAATTCGAGTCATTTGACTCGGTTATCACTTTAATTTTTGAGTGGCGGTTTATTTAAAAAAATTTCGAGAATATATTCTCTAAATGCCTTGGAATAAAATCTCACTCAAAACAAGTAAAAATTCATATTCAAAGTGATAATAAAGAAATACTTCCACTTAAAATCACAATAAAAATAAGATGTTTAACTGAAGCTTGTATAGAAATAAACTTTAATCCGTACGAGTAAACGTTTCAATCGATTAAAATGAATTTTTTTTTCCATAACGCTACATCAGACTTAATCTTCAATTTCGAGTGAAAATATTCACTCAACGATTCGGAATTAAAGAATTCACGCAGTATAAGTAAATGCTCATCCAAATTCAGATGACTCAGCTATCACTCTCGTTTTCGAGTGGAATTTCACACACATACACACACACTTAGGAAAATTTAGAGAAATAGCTTCCATCACTGTGTCGCAGGCGACAACGTGGACTGCTGGATGGAAATTCAGCACGGGAAAGGCCCGTGGGCTCCACCGGTGTCTGGAATCGTGCCGCTCGGCTCTACTCTCACTCTGGTCGTCGCCATAAACGATTACCGAGGTAACGAGCGACACAGCTCACGAGGCTTTTACACGAGGCTTTCCGACCGATCGGGAACGGGCGCTAATGTAACTGTCTGTTGTTAAACCGTGCGCAGGTGAGTTCGACATGCGGGTCAAGTCGTGCGTAGCTTCGGACGGCGGCGGTCACACAATACAGCTCAGCGACGAATTCGGCTGCGTGCTGAGACCGAAGATGATCAGCCGGTTCTTAAAAGCGCGTGGCTCGGACGACCGCGCGACAATCATCACCTACGCCTTCTTCCACGCCTTCAAATTTCCAGACGCGCTCAGCGTTCATATCAAGTGCAAGGTAACGTACCACGTGGCCTCCTGATGATAATCAATAATTTTGGGATAAACTTCCAAAAAACAAGTAAAAATTCATATTCAAAGTGATAATAAAAAAATACTTCCACTCAAAATCACAATAAAAATAAGATGTTTAACTGAAGCTTGTATAGAAATAAACTTTAATCCGTACGAGTAAACGTTTCAGTTGATTAAAATGAATTTTTTTTCCATAACGCTACATCAGACTTAATCTTCAATTTCGAGTGAAAATATTCACTCAACGATTCGGAATTAAAGAATTCACGCAGTATAAGTAAATGCTCATCCAAAAGGGTCTTATATTCGACTTTTATGAAACTTGATCAAAATGTTCCAAATTGTTCCAAAAGTACGTACACAGAAGGATTTTTGTCGGAAAAGGGATTTAAGTCATATATTGATCGTTAAAAGTATCGTATTTAAGATTAACTGTTTTGTAATTGATAAAAGTGAAGCAGTTCCGATTGGCTTTATTTTGATACATGTTGTCAAGAACATAACCCTGAATAACAAGCAAAAAGTCTCAACCGTGATTCATTGTTTATTAAAAAGTTATCAACAAAAAAAGTTTTGAAAACGTATGAGTTAAGATTAGAGCTAAATAATGTATATAATGATTGCAATGCATTTGTTAGAATATTGGTTGTTGTGAGGGCTTCGCCTCTTCTTCCTCACCCCCTCCCCGCCTGCGCCCAAACTCTCCTCAGGGGGCTTCGCTCCCCCAACCCCCCGAACTAATTACCAACGAATCTCTGTTCCAATGTTATATTTTACTCACCAATTGTTTCAATCATAAAAAAGTTATTATCAATTAAAGATCATAAATAGATTCCATATTTCTTTATTTGTGGTTTTCTTATTAATTTAAATCTCATCCAATTAATGCTAAAATCTTTTACCTTATTAAATTAATGAGTCTACCTTATACTAAAAATGTAGACATTGTAAAGATTAGCAAAGATCCCTACGCAAGGTATATGTTGGCTTTAATATATGCGTAATTATCTATAATATTATCATAAATTATCACATCAGATGTAGTCTCAAAATAAGTATATATTTATGTAAATACAAGTTATATTTATATAAATCGTGTTTAGGAAAGTTATATCTATATTTAATATAATTGTGGAGGTCAAAAAAAGATAAACACTATTGAAATTAGAGGAACTAAACTTTTCATAAATATATAAAAAAAATAATTATATAATAATGTATTATAAAGTACAAAAATGATGGAAGAACCGGAATATTTTATAAGACAGAACGGGACTAACCTTAATACAATACCTTTAACAATCAATATATGACTTAAATCTTGTTTCTGACAAAAGTTCTTCTGTGTACGTAGATTTGGGATCATTTGAAACATTTTTACTAAATTTCATAAAAATCAGAGATAAGACCTTTTCGGAAGTTCAGCCTAATTTCGTTTGCTTTCACAAGAAAATTCTCAAACAAGAATTTCGTAAAAGCTCTAAAAGTAAATAAGTAGTGAGAAAAGTAGGCTGGTAAAAACTGTCGTTAGATATTGGACGTGACAGTTTAATAGTAGAAGGATATAATTGTTCTCGACAGAATAACGTACACGCCAAGCTTTATTTCCAACATTATCGCTTTAACGCACATTTAGTACTATAACCACCTACCTACTGAACCAACCTTTTTTATCCCGCAAATATTTTTAATATTAAAAATATTCTTTCCCTCCCCCTTTCCTTATATTTACAGAATTTCTCCTCGCAACTTTAATTTTACCGAAAATTTCTCTGATCAATTTGGAGTTAATTTTTTCTCAGCGAAAACATTGAAACGTCAACAATTTCGGAGATACAAGTAATTGAAGAAAAGGGCCTTTCGTAAACTAAACTTTGAACAACCAAATGGGTAATAAAATTATCTTCTTTGATCAATTACAAGTGGCCTTTACTTTAAAGAAGTTTATTTTAGACCTTGATTATAAAGATATGTTAAAAATTGAAAAGTCGTCATAAATAATGACTTTTCTCGACATTTTCGGTGAAGAGGAATTGTCTTTAAATTGCTCAGAGAACTTCCAGATAAAGTTATATTTCAGGTCATTCTGTACATATGTCTCGGACTTTGATAGAAAACTTTTGCTTAGCGTTGCGAAGAATGCTGCCTCAGTCAGAAGAAAAATCGCAATTTTCCGAACGGCATCTCTGAGCGTTATCTAGGAAGAGGAGAGTGTCGTGAGCGTGGAACGTCAGGTAGCTCAGTGGTTTAGATCAGTCGGCAAGCGAAAGACCTGGGTTCGAGTCCCGGCCTAGCAAGACCGCGCTCTCGATATTTTTCTCTTTCTGGAACGAAAAAGATACGCAGATCTCGAACGCACGGCGTCCCGCCGCCACCTAGTTATGCCCTCCTCCTTCTATGGTTGTAATCGAAAGAGAGTCAGATGAAAAACTCAATGATGAGGAACGATATGCGGAAATATTCGTCTGAACAATCGACGTTCGGACGATCTGTGTTAAAACTTGAGATAGCTGAGGAAAATTGATTGAGTACAAACCTCCTATATAGAAACCTTGTTTCAACAATTCAGTTTTCAACAGGTTTCAAAACAACAAAAAATTCAATTAGAATATACCAGGACAAGATATTACATTTTTCAGAATTTCGAAATTACAATTTTTCAGACAACAAATTTTTGTAATTGACTGGACAAACATGATAGAGACAACCTTCTTCTGTGTGTTTATGGCCGCAGCGACCCAACAAACCGTATATTTTATTCTACATTAGCCGAAATGCGAACATGCTCGTCCATCTTGCCCTGTTCTCTTAAAGTGAATCAGTGAATAGTCACTGATATCAGTTAGTATAGCATTAAGCAGTTTCAGTGCTGTACTTATAGCTGTAAATCAGTGTATATTTACTGCTTTCAATAATGTTTCACTGATTCACTTTAAGAGAGTGACTTACGGCCCGGGATAAGAAGACAACGTATAAAATATGTATCCTGATTAATTACTAGGTTTCTACAAGAGATCTCTATAGGCCTGGCGGCTCTTAAGTAATGATCAATTTTATCTCGTCCGTCCGTATGTTCAATTCCAATCATTTTATAAACGAAAATTACTTTCATCACTCGAAATAATGTATCATATATTTGATTTTTTAGGCTTTCGCGGTGTCCATGCATATTAGATTTGGTTTCCGGGTTTGAGTCATCTTTGTTTGATTCCATCGTCGTTCCACCGTCGTTAGTGTATCATATACTTGCAGGAAAATTCGTTCTAATTTATAACACATACCTCAAATTTATTCACTCACAATGGAGAATATTAATACCAAATTTCAAGACGCTTGAAAACGTACTTAGCTGCTTCTAAATCAGTTTTTCCTATTTTTTAACTGTAATATTGTTCCTATTTTATAATGAAACCTAGGAAAAAGTACGTAAGAGGAACATTTTTGCGATTTCTTTTCCACTTTCCCTTTCACAATAAATCCATAAGCAAAGCATATGACCGACATACCTCTTGATCAAATAAACCCGATCTCATGAACTGAATTCTTTTTCCTTACGACGGACTATCATCTAACGAACCTCAAACTATTCTCGCGAAAAGGTGGAGATATGCCGGCACGGTTGCCTGGACCACTGTCAATTGAGCGGCTCCGTAGCCCATTACATTCAAGAGAGGAAGGACCAAGTGCAGCCGCAATATATACAACAAAGCTCCACTCCCTCCATCGTTTCTCACGACGACAACAGCAGCGCGGACAAAGATCACGAGGACGCGGTGAATAATGCGGACCAGACCGATGGCTCTCTATACGACGATGTGATCCAAAACGGCGACGAGATGACGTCGATCGGCGGCCACTTCTTGGACGTGGAGAAGTCGATCCCGAAGGCGCAGGCACAGACGAGCGACCGGCTACCGCCGATCTCAGTCGAGCCGCACCAACACGAGCTTCACTCCGATAACGTCGACATATCGAAGCCGTTTATGGTAAGTATAAAAACATCGCGTGGTCGCTACCGGTCGAGCCGGGGTACACCGACGCTCCTCTTCCAGGAACCCCCGCGAGTCACCAGATACGAAAGCGACCAGGATCAATTCCCTCACGGGCCACGTAACCTGGAGGAGGAGGACAACGGCGCGATGCCGGCGATGCCGCTGCCCGCGACCGCCCGGAGAAAACGCTCCATGGTAGTGTCGGACAGGAAAGTCCGCAGCGCCGACGTCGGCGTCAGCGGCATCTACGAGGTCATCTCCGAGGCGGACCTGGCGTTCAGCCCGGACACGCACACCGAGGCGGTGACGGTCTTCCAAGGTAGGATACGTGAGGAGGTGGTCTACGGGATCTGCCTGCCGATGCCGGGCTTCAGCGCGCTCTTCATCGTGGTCGCGCTCTCGGCGGTCGTGTCCGCCCTCGTGGCCGGCGCGATGCTGCACCGGCTGCAGGCGCAACGGGAGACCGCCGCCGGCAGCAGGAAGAACAACACCGGCGATGTACACGCGGACAACGGCTGGCTGCCTTACGGCCTGCTTCGCGTGCGCTGCACGGCGCAGCCCACGCACCCCGAGGAGCTGCAGCAGGAGCAGGCGACGAGCGTCTCACAGGTCGCCGCAGACCCATCGGTCGAGCGAGGCTGACCACCATCTGAGCGCCCGTGACGAGACGCGCCAGACGTGTCGGGGAAGAGACAATGTGCAATAATACGCTGTACAAAGTATCGTAAGTGCGGAAGAGGGCGATTATATGTCAAGAGAGAGAGAGAGAGAGAGAGAGAGAGGGAAAAGGAGAGATAACTGTCTCGCATGCTGAGGTGAGAGGAGACGGTAGGAGAAATGAGGTAAATTTGTCGGGTTCTCCAAGTGTCGCAACCGCATTGCGCTCTCGCGAATCGCAGTCGCTGAGGAATGCGTCTCTCGGCACGTGTTAGTACGATTTTCACTCATACGCTATTCTATAACTCTTGCAACGCGTAGAGCGGCGCTTCGAAAGAAAAAAAGAAATTTTAGTCTATCAACGAATTTGTTCGCCCCAATTTTAATCAGTCTGGATTGGTGATGTTGATTTATGCGATTTTCTTCTTCCTTTTCCTGTTGCTATAAAATTTCTTCTTTTCTTGGAAATCTGCCAACTATTTCACCCAGTAAATATCAACTAATAGTAACATTGCACAAATGTTATAATTTTCCACTTAGCGTTTATAATTATAATGTTATAATTTTCCACTTAACTGTTACATACGTCATTTGTTATATTGCACTTACATTGTTGAGTGGGAAATTATAATTGTGGCGTAATATTACTGTGACAGTTGCAATTATCGCGTTTATCGTCAATTATGATACTCTATGGGTAAACAATAAACGGGTAAACTACACTGAGAGGAAAAATGAAGAATAAAAAATATTTATATATTCTCTACTAACATATTTATTTAAATCTCTAAATTCTTTTCTTTAAATAAAATAAATAATTGTTTTCATATGAAAAAGTAAGTTTTTAAAAAAATTTATATTTTCTCCTTTAAAAAGTATTTTATATTAATAAATATGTTACTTTTTTTTGGTACCTACCGCGAATAAATATCTTTGTATGTCTTAAATATTACTTTCTTCAATGTATATATGAGAGAGAGAGAGAGAGAGAGAGAGAGAGAGAAAGAAATTTCATCTATGTAGAGAATGAGTAACTTATGAATGTCGTTAAAGAATGTATGACTTGCTTCAAAATTAATGAAGGAAAGCTTATCTTCTTTTAATTTTTGGAATCCTGGTGTAAATTTATAAACGTTATTTTCTAAACAAGTTAGAGTTCACAGAATTGTCCGATTATATGTTTACTTTCAGAGTTAAATCTACTAACCTATCATATAATGAAATAAAAATTTTCATGCAATTTTTAAACATTACATGTATAATTGATACAAGAGATACAGTAACTGTCAAAAAACAGTTACAAAACGTAACTGTCTCATAATTTAATATCTTCAGTGATTTAAATAACTGCGTAATTCCCCGAATTGCGCGAATTCTTTGTTTAAATAAGCATATCTAGATTTCTTTTCTCTTTATTGCCATCTTCTTTCATTTGTTTTGAGAAACGGAATACAAAATATATCTAATTTGTATTTGCTATAAGTTAAAAAAATATAATAGTTTAAGTAAATCAAAAGGAATTTAATATTTTACCGCGAAACTTTTCCAGGCATACCACTCAAGAGATTAATTACTCTTTTTATGTACATTTTAATATAACTCACAATATTCTACATCGTTTACATTATCTACATGAAAAAAGACCATGTATACATCAGGCAATAGTCAAATAATTCACGTAGACGTAATCTCGAGATCTACGACACAACGCTGGTTATATTGATGCTTACTGGGCTGAAACGTGTCGCTCCGAGAACGAGGGCTTTGAAAGCGTTGCATTGAAAAGCGCGTTGCAGAATTACAGGAATTACAGAATAGGCACGTCGACACAATGTTGAGTATAAACGAGCGTTTCTCGAGAACACTCGCGAGTCGGGTCAAACCCGCGGCAGCACGAAAACTCACTCGAGAGTGATTTATCGTCGGCAAATAGGTCGTGTTCTCGCGGTGATTTGGCGCCTTAGTTTTAATAATGATAAAATAAAAATCGTGGGTATCGTAGAGAGGAAGCAACCTAAGAGAATAATATCGAAGGTAATCATAATTATTACATCTAGCAGTATACTCGTAAGGATACGTCTCGTCGTACAAATGATACAAGGATCACACGATCGCTTTGGCACACGTGTGTGCAAATTGTCTTCCGGAGACGGACGTCGGTGTGTGCCTCTCGGAATCCCGTCGTCCATCCAACGGACCGCGGCGGGATCGTGAGGCGTCGCCTTCGAGGTCTACATAAGCGTTTCTCTCTCTTCTTTTATTTAGATAATTAAACAGCTACTATTATCGTGCTACGAGTCTTTAGGGTACTGAAATCGTTCGGTTCTACGGCGTTCTTTTTATGTATGCAGAGGTCGTTACGTTTCAACGATTTGCTCTAAGGAGGCTAAAAGTAATATTTATCTCGGATATGGCAAGATGTGTATAAAATATGTTAACAGTTATATACTGTGGAAGAACTGACACGATGGAAATAAACGTTTCATTCCTATCGCATCCGTTCCTCTGCGTCTTCTCGAGCTTCCGCAATCCGCGGGATTTGTGCGCGACGTGTGTGTGGAAGAGGGCTTCCGTGGTTTACTTTATTCCTCCTCTTCCCCCACCCCACCCCATTTACATTCCACGTGTATAAACGGACTGTTTCAAACCGTGGTATATGATATATGAATCTAGCACAAGGATATGCGATCCCTGCGGAACATTCTTGACGAAAGCATTTGACGAAACCCTTTCTTATTGCCGCAAACGTGATCCGTTTTACAATTGAGTTTCTCTTCTTTATTCTACTTCCTTTTTTTTTACACGATATACGTAAGTGAACATATCGGGAATATTCGTACAGAGAGATCCCACCTAAGGTTTCTCTCATCCATTGAGGGTGAGAAAACGTTCCTCTCCTCTTTGAGAGACGATCAGAAGAAACATCAATAGATCTGTTCTTTTTAGCTAAACTGTCTGAACTGGTGCAATAAGTCAGCGTGATATATTTTGTTTCACTCTAACTTATCGCATCACACAGTTCAGGCAGTTCAGCTAAAAAGAATAGACCAAATATAAGCGACGTCAATGGACAAGAAAATGACCTGACGAAAAAAAACGAATTGACGTTTCGTTCATTTGCTCGTCCGAACAGTTCTACACTTCTACGAAAGTTGCCAAGTAAAATAAAATATTTAAGATCGTTGTAGACCTTAAGTGATATCCGTACGTGTATACACGTGTAAAAAGGAAAAACTCGTACTGCACTTAGAATGCAGCGGCCTTAATTTAAGCGCGCATGAACGGCACTGAGAGTCAGAGGTGAATTGTAACGCCAGCATCAGATGGCAAAGCATCAAAGGCAAGGGAAAGAGAAACACTCGAGCAAGAGTGAGGCGATAAATACGGCTATTTAGTTAAAAGATTATATTTTTATTTAATATAGATAAACACATTAGTGGCAATAAATATATTTACAGGACCTTGGTTATATACGATCGAGCCCCGATTATAATTTATTTTCATATACATCATGCACGCACACGCACACGCACGCACACATACACATGCATACACAACACACGATGATTTCGACCGCTTTCATTGGTTAATGAAGTAACGAAATAGATTAATGCGGGGGACAGCGTGTGGACGCTGCCGAGAATGAAAACAGGCGGTTGCTTCCTGAATATTATACCTTCCTTCGAGATATATACGTATATCTTATACTAGATAGGTCACACTGCGAATATAAACTAATGACTGCACAATTATGTGTATAACTTATTGAGTCGCCTAACTTCCCTTGCATTTTTAATAACTAATTTCCTTAGCAATACTATGTCGGTCGCAATTACGAGGACTGAATGTCGCAGTGACGCTATTGGCAGGACGTTCGTTTTTTTCTACATTGCTCGGCATACGTGAAACAAAATTTGTAAAATAGATCTCGTTATTGAATTGGAAATAATTTGTATGACATAGCGATATAACGGTTTGGCACAATCTTTCATTTCTGCGATTTAGGTAGAACTATAAAAGTGTCACTGAAAAAAAACGTGACGTACACTGAGAGAAAAAAGTTTAACTAAAATTATAGTTATTTTTCCCCAACCATATTTTTTGGTTGTTCTAACATGAAAATAGTAGTAACATATATATAAGATTATTATTACTAATATTATAGTAGAATTTAATAAAAAAAAATAGTTTTGTCGACCATAATTTATAGTAATTATTTCTCTATGTTATTTTAATAAGTTACACCAAACATTTTTTATTATTGCCATTTAAATTATTACCAAACATTTTTTTCTTTGTATATTAGATATTAGTAAATATGCATAAAAGGTTATTCGCCTCACCGAATTTATTTAAATTGATATATATTGTAAGGTTGATAGAGAAATAAATTGCAAAAAGAATTAAATATTGCTTTTGATGTAACATCAAAAGGATGATAAGGACAATATTGCTTTTGATGTAACAAATTCAAGTTTGATTATTTTAATGCTTTTTCTTAAGTATTATAAACTGCTTTAGGAACAATGAGGTTTGTGTACATCGTACTTGTTTGATATCTTTCAATATATTAGAAAAGTTTTGGTTTATATTATTTAAAGGAGTTTCACGCATATTGTGTCAGCAATTAGTTTTGTCTATTTCTTGTCTAATTCGTTAACATAGCTTTTGATATGTAATTTATTATTTTTCCTTATTTTTTTCTCTAAATCATATTTTTACTGTCGAAAATATCCTTTATTGAATGAGAGTTATGTTAGTTATTAATAGATGTACATTCATGCACATATGTTTCAATTACCAACAATGCTTTAAAGTAGGGTTAAGTTATATTTTCAGAGGAACGGAAGGCGAAACCCTCTCGTACTTTTGTAAAATGTACTTTTTAATTTTTTTTATTATAATAATTGATGTTTTATGGCATAAATAAACTTCATACCGTTTGCAACATTAATTTAAAAAAGTATCAAAATATCAGATTTTATTTTGTTATATCTGAATAACCAATGTTGTTTTTCACCTAGTTCTTTTTGTAGATCACTCTTCTATAATTCTGTCACCCTTACAATATATATATATATATATATATATATATATATATATATATATATAT